GGGGGGGGGGGGGGGGGGGGGGGGGGGGGGGGGGGGGGGGGGGAGGGGGCGGGGGATCAAGCGTTCGGAAGTTATCGTGGACCTTCAGAAGTACCAAAGATTGTCACTTTAGCAGAGCAATTGAACGATACGCAAGTTGTTGAAGAAGTTTTGTTTCGTAGGGGAAACCGGGGGCCTTCATGTCCAGGCTTCGAGGGGTCGTACACATCATGTACGGAGGGGCCCAACATTTGCACGCTGCAAGCAAGCACCTTCACCTCACGAAGGAGCGTTACCTGCTCTGTGCCTCACTTTGTCAATATTAAATCACTCAGCACACGTGATATACAAGCCCAGCAGTGCTTGGACCAAACGTTCGTCGAACATACAGCAAGCACCAAAGCACGGAAAGTTTTGGGTTGGGGTTTAAAGAAGGGGAGCGTCCGGAGACAGGCAGGCACGCAGGCGAACATATCGAGTGGCCCCTCTCCCCTGCCGCGACCGCATTCCTTTTCTTCGCATTCTCTGTTCTCACGACTGGAATTTGTTGAACGTCTGCTTCGGGGCGCCGGCGGCCGACTCCAAAGACGCCAGGATGCCCGTCGATGGGGATGAACCTTTCCTTCCTCCCCCGTCCTTGTCGCTATCGTTGTCGTCGTTGCCCCGCCCGCCGTCCTCCGGCGCGGGGGTTTCCAGGACGTGCAGCGCTGCCCGCGCGTAGCCCCCCCCCGTCCGGAGCGCGGAGCCCCCGAAAGTCACGATGCAGGGGTGGGGGAGGCTCTCGTCCGTGGGAGAAGAAGGCATAGGCGTTCTTCTATTTCGGGATCTGCCACCACCACCTCCTCCTCCTACCCCCTTTCGAGACGATGGTAGTGGCGTTGTGTTGTTGTTTTCGCCGCCCCGAGGCCGCTTGGGGGATGACTTTCTACTTGCGCCTCCGCCCGCCCCGCAGTTGGAGCGACCGCTGCCGCCGGAGCCGTCGCGGTTGCCCTGGTTTCTCCAAGAAAAAATAGATAAAAAGTGAACGAGAAGGAGCAAAGATGTAGTGAGCCATGTGGCGTTCCGCAAAACGAACATGGCGCCTCCGTTCGGGCTCGGGTGCAGCTACCAAGGGAGCCATTTTTGTTTTTGACCTGATTCATTCATGCTTCGGCCAGATTTTGGGTCTCGATTCCCCCGAGAAAACCGTGTGGTCACGATGACGGTGCGAGGAGGGTCGAACTCTCAGAGCCACGCTAAGCAAGGTGATAAACAATACAGTGCGTGCACACTCTGGTCGGCCGATGAACACTGCCGGAGACGTTCGTGTTCGCAACACCGGTGGACGAGTTTGTTTCCGGTCAGGAAGTGAACCGGTCTGTTTGGTGGCGGCGTGCGACCGGGAACAAGCCCCCCCCCGTACGGAGTTTCGTTATCGAGTGTCGAAAGTGACGTTGTTGCTGTTGTTGTTGTTGTTGTTGTCCTCCGAGGCGGTCCAACCGGCAAGAAAGTTGCTCTAATCAGCATGTGTAAGGCCAATCGTACTAGTGTCCGGTGAAGAGTTCGTGCTATTCTCGCCTACAAGCAAATATGGTTCGTGTTCTTTCGAACAGCTTACAACAGCAGAGTCGGGCTCCTTTGGGGACGCAGCAGAAATATCTTGGGGAGCACAGCTTGCAATAGCTAAACAGAAGCAAGCATAGTAATGAACAACATGCGCTCAAAAATCTGTGACCATGCTCACTGTGTTCTTGATTGTTTCGAAGGTAGAAAATTGATGGCCCAAAACATAAAAAGAGACGATTTTCAACAATCTGCTCTTCAACGTGTTCTGGTACAGCGCCTCACCTTGTTTTGGTCTCCGCGCATAGGGGACAAGGGCGAACCCCTTGCCCCGTCCCCGTCCCCTCCATCGCCTGCTTCTGCGCCGCCGCCGTTGCACGCGAGCGCGGCCTGGCGAGGGTCCCACACGAAGCACGTGTGCCCGTGCCGCTGGTGAGGCATCATCGCAACCATCGCCGCCGCCGAATGCTCGGTCGCCGCCTTAACGGCTTCGGCGTTGTTGTTGTTGTTGTTGTTGTTGTTGTTGTTGGCGTTGCCCTTCAATCCGCCGGACGCCAAAATGCCGGCAAGGCTAGAGGAGGGGGGGGGGTTCTTCACCTTTGGCTGCTGCCCAGGCTCTCTGCGTGGCTCGTTTTGGGGCCTTTCGTCGTCCGTGTTGTTGGGCGACGGCGTAGCCGGCGCGGCTATTGGTTCGTCGCTGCCGCCGCGTGATGGTTGCGTTTTCCCGATCACCGGGTTGTCCAGGATGGTCACTCGGAGGGGACTGGCACTGCTCCTTTTGCCTTTGGACGTGCTGCTTTGGTTGGCGTTCAGCTCATCGGGAGGGGGCTCCCCCATATCGCACACCGCCATGCTCCAAAGGTTCTTCCGGAATTGGCAAGTCAGGACCTGACCACCGAAAGGTGCGCAAAAGGCATGCGCGACGTCAACGGGGAGCAGCAACGTCCAGGATTCATAGACGCAATAGAAGCAAATAATGCAAGCTTGGGGGGATTCGTTATGGCTGACCGCCAGAATTAGGCCGATGGAGCTTGGGAGAAGAACTCGTTTGAATACGTGAATCTGAGATGTGCAGCTTGTCGCGAAATGCGTCTAGGGGATTTAGATCTCCAAACGAAGCTCCTAGTGGCCTGTCTACGGGGCCCACCCTTGACGATCGGGAAGAAACAAGGGGCTACACCTGGGTGAGCGTGTGGTTGTACACTGATACCAGCTGTGGGAGTAACAATGTCTATTGCTGCACGTACGTTCCCCTCCAGCGAACCGGCGTTTCCCCTTGTTCCTATCTCGAAGAACGGAACGACCAAAAGCTATGCTACGCGTAACAAGGTTAAGGAGTGTTGTTCCTTCTGAACGCCATCATCGGCGTCGGAACAAAGCTACGTATTATAGTTTGGCAATAACGAGAGCGTGGAGCTATGCTGGTGGACTATCGCTCTTGTATGGGCTGAGTTTGCTCTCGCCTGGGTAGAAGCCCAAGCCACCTACCTTTCCATTCCCGCCCTAAGGGGAAAAAAGCTTCCTTGATTCTACCTTTCTTCCCGTGCCCGCTCCCCACCCCCCAAAAAAAGAAGAAAAAAAGAATAAATGAGGTCACACAAACACACCTGAGTGTTCCAATTTTTCCCACCTCGCCCGCCAAAAATGATCAATCTTCCGGCGTGGGCAGGGTCTTCGACAGCCGTGTGTCCGTGGATAGCGGGGGCCGAGAAGCCTAGCGGGTGGGGCTCTAGGATGGACCACTGCAGCGTGTCTAGGGCAAGCATGTACACCTAGGTACGGGGGTGGGCGGGGTGCTTGGAGTGACGCGATTGGGCGGGGTGCGATTGAGCGAGATGAGACCTGGAATGACACGACGAAGGACGCGTCAATCCTTCGCGGACAACAAACAGAGTATTGTGCATATCGGCATCGCAGACAAAATATTAGTTTTGGGTGCGGGGCAACGGAAATCTACGCGTTTCTTGCCACGGATCAACATACTCTGGGAGGGAACACACCCCCTGGCCTGTTTAACGTGGGAGAATACGCTTCGAACAGAAGCGAACCGAAACAAAGCAAAAAATCGGCGAGCAGCAGACGGGGCGGGTGAGATGATGACGGAGAGGCTGGCAACATGCAGCCACCGGGAACCGATACAGAAGCAGCAGTAGCAGCACAAGCGTGCATCTTGTCAGAACAGTAGTAACGCTTTCCAGAAGATACGACCCCACGCTGAGACCGTTCTGAAGCGGTCACCGTCGTTCGAAAGAAAACTGTCTACCATGAATCTAAGACTCCGAGAGAATGCCGACGGAACGTAGTTGCCGAGTGTGTGGAGACCGTTCACGATGTCTGCTAAAACTGTTCTTGTGGCGGCGGCACCTGACTTCCCTTTAGCCTGGCAAGCGGAAACAATCTTGTTCCGAAATGAGTAAGGTTTGGGTCAAAATGTAAAACCAATGAGCGTGGGAAAAAAATGGTTTTGTCTTAATCCCGGCAGCTTGGTTGGCACGGGGGCGCGCCAAAGCACAACATCCAGCGACACAGCAGCTCTTCGAGAGTAAGACGGACGCTGGGTTGTCACGGGCAGACCGCCGCACCACCCAGGACGAAAATCTTGCAAAAAATACTTGACGGTGCAGATTCTGCAAGAGTTGTAGTTGTTGATGCCGTGTTTGTTGTTGTTGTTGTTGTTGTTGTTGTTGTTGTTGTTGTTGTTGTTGTTGTTGTTGTTGTTGTTGTTGTTGTTGTTGTTGTTGTTATTGTTGTTGAGATTCGTGTACAGAAAGAAACACAGGAGGCAACACTTGCAAACACATTTTAATTCGGGGCCGAAGTAGCTCGGCGAGATTCACTCCAGAAACGAGATGACGTAACCCCACAAAAAAAAAACTGCTGCCCAGCGGGTGTTCTGGACGCAGAGAGCTCTGCCGGCAGCAAATAGCACCCGGATCAACCTCTCTCACCTGGCCGTTTAGCGCCCTGCCGACCATAACGCCTCCGATGACCACAATGTGCGTCCCGCCCGCCAGGGTCGCGGTGTGGTCGAACACAGCCGGCGGGCCAGGCCCCGCCGCGGCGGAGGGGATGTTTCCTTTCGATATACCCCCTCCTGACGCTCCTCCCCCGCCTGCCGCCTCCACGCACGTCCAGGTTCGCCGGTTGAAGTCGAAGATCCAGAGCTGCGGGTACACCACCTCCATGTTCTTGGTCGCGTAGCGGACGTACGGGGGGTTCGGAGAGGATCGGGTTTTTGGAAGAACCGAAGTATACAGGCAAGGTTGCGCCGCCATCCGCAGGTTTCCCGCGGAGGTGGCACGAGGGGCGACGACAAAGGCGGCGGGAGGCTAGAAGCCCGGTCTGTGCTAGCAACTTCGACATGGAGCTGCTGGTATTTCTCTACTATCGGCTTCCATATCTACAAACACCTTTGCTCTTTGACAGACCGGGTGTTCCTTCTCCGCTTGGCGATTTTGGCTCACCATCCCCTACTATCTCTAAAGCCCCGTCTCTGTCTCTGTCTCTGTGCCCGTATCTACTTGCGCGCCTCTGTCTTATTGTTCGTTTGTCTGTCTCCCTTCCTCTCCTCTCTCCCTCTTTCTCTCTCTCTCTGTCGCTCTGTCTCTCCTTGGCTCTCTTCCTGCCCCCCCCCTCCCCCCCCCGCTCTCTCTCCTCCTCGCTTTCACTCACTCGAATGGGGTCCGTGCCGGCCCCGCCAATGACGAACATCTCCCTCGACTCCCCGAATGCCCTTCCCATGCCGCCGTCCCCGCTCTCCCTGTCGCCGCCGCCGCCTCCGCCGGAGGAATCCCCTCCTCCCCCCGCCCCTCTCCTGCCCCCCTCACCCTCCCCTCGCCACTTTCTCGGAGTGATTCTTCCGGGGGAGCGGGGGGTACTATTTCCATGGCCCACGCTCTCGGAGTCAGCCCGTCTATGGCCGCTGGCGCTGTCGTTGCCAAGGCTAAGGTCTCCCGTAGCGGCCACCGCGCCAGTGCCAGCAGCAGCAGCAGTGCCGGCAGTGTCACGCTCGGAGGAGGTTTGGGGGTCCCGGGCACTCACCTCGGGTCGCCGCCCTAGAACGAGGGTCGCAGTGTGCCCACGCCTCGAGGTGGGGCAGACTCCCGCCTGGACGTGGTCCCGCCACTCTCTTTTCGAGGAAGGAGTCAAACGAGCACAACAACAAGCCATCAACCAACAACGTGAACCGACGCAAACAGTTGAAAAATATATATATATATCCAGGCGGGTTACTGTTGGTAGTCCTACGCCCGCAAACGAGTTCGAATCTTCCGGATTGTTTGATGCGCGAGAACTCATGAAAGAAACGAGCAAGCACGCTCACATCGACGCCCCGAAGGTTGAAACAATCTACTTTTGCCGAGGTCGTTAGGTTTTTCGGCGTGAGCCGGGTGCGGAAGGAGTGATGTACTGCTCGTTGCTGCTTCCCTATCAACATGACGAGCTCAAGGAGATGTGGAAGTCCATCCACCCCCCCCCTTTCTGGGAGATTATCGTACCGAGATCGTTTGACGGGCTCCTACTGGGACTTGTTCCTTTCAACTTCTTATGCCATCGATTCAATGTCTTGATGCCACCTTGAGGTTTCTATTACCAAAATCAAACAATGCATGCCGCGTTTCTCTGTCTCTAAACTCACACCCTTTTCGTGTCGAACTCGAAAAAGTCGTTGAAACAAGTACGCCTGGCGAGGGTCCTGATCTTGACGCCCTGATGGGTGCGAGATGAGTCCGCCTTTGACGTCGCTGCTCCTTGCCCTCCGAACACCCAAAGCGACGATAGTCCGTCCCCTGCGAGACGCGAAGAGAGGAGAATAGCGGTATGATAATAATGCGACGTGTCTCATACACCTATGCAAAGCATCTCTTGTGTGTGATGATAGGGTAGTCGCTCGAGCGCAAAAAAGGGAGACAAGAACCTGCATGGCACCGTAACCCCACTGAGCGACGACAGGCCCCGCTGCACGATGCGAAAAGAAGACGGCAAGGAAGGGAGAACCATAGATACTCACTCAAAACACCAGTGGAGCCTCAACCTGCTCACGACAACGGCGTACAACGTACAGGATCATGACCCTCCTACGGAGTATTCACACATGGGTCGATCCTTTGAATCCACCTGTCGAAACGGTTCGCCTACTATCGGATAAGCACGGCTTCTCAGCCAAGCTCACGCCTCCCTGAACCGGACAGAAGCATCGGGCAATAATAGCACTTTCTCTCCGCCTTTCATGTATTTTGCATAGGAATGCTGGCAATATTCCGCAAAAGCCTGAGACATGAACATCGACATCACTACGGGCAGTCACCCCCTACTCGTTGCGGGGAATTCTGAGCTGCATGTGCCTGTGATTGCTCCACTCACAGCACATCGTATGGCCCTGCCGGGGGGCTGGAGCTTCCCCCGTTCTAGGGGTGATGGGTCGCCAACGCCGCTCCCTGACATTCAAGGCCCATAGCGATTTCGAAGGGCCAGCATTGAGACCACCGAACAGGTACAGCTCTCCTCCCAGGAGCGCTATTCAAGAGCATGACAGTTTGGTGAAAGATAAGTTGTCAACCTAGTACAGTCGAGGGACCTTTATAGTGGCGGTATGTGTCGAGAGATTTCACCGGCACTAAACCGGGCACCCGGCACTATTGCGAATAATGCCAAAACGGCACTATTGAGGACTAGCCGATCCCTCATTAGTGCCGGTCTGGCACTAATGAGAACGTGTGCGATTTATGGTGTAGCGCTCACGCTTGCGGGGCCAGGTCAGTACTGTAGTACGAAATGGATCGACACTGCTGTTATGTGAAGTTCTAGTGTAGGCCTGGGCAGACTTTCTTTCCCGCGACACGTGCGGTTTCACCCTGTCGAGCCCAAGAGTTTTGTAAAATAAGATCGTTGCATTTCGGGCTACAGCAGTGCCTCACCAAGACTTAGTCTAGTCGACGGCGAAAGGGAAACACACATCATGCACCCGAGTAGGCTGTGACCGGCACAAACTGTTTGAAAAGCTCTCGTTCGTACAAAGCTAATTTTCACCCCTTGTTGCCCTCCTTCGATGTTGAAAAATGAAAATCAAGAAACAAAACAATGTATAAGCGCACCAAAGAAAAATAAAACAAGCACACAACTACAGCTGTAACCCCCGTCCTTGCTGCGTCGCGATAAATTCTCTCGTGTCTGCCTGGCGCACCCCCTTCGATGTTGCAACAAAAAACAATACAAAAAAAAAAGGCAGCGCACCGCAAGAAAACAACCACTGCTACCGCTGTACCCGCATCCTCGCTACGTCGCGACAAGTTCTCTCATGTCCGCCTGGCGCACCCGCGTAGCGGAATGCGCTACTATTATCGCCATCTTCGCTTTCGCTAGCTAGAGCGCCGCTTCTCCGTTGCCACTCTCCTTTGCTGCCGCTTCCAGGACGCCGAAGTAAGACGACAGTTCACCATACGCCGGTGGGGCACGGCGCACACGCCCCGTGTCCTCATCGCCCCTGTCCTCCTCCTGTTCGTCCTCCTCCTCGCGGCCGGCAGACACTTGCACCCCATTCAGCTGTCTGTGCCGTCATGTCGTCCACCGTATCCAGTCTGATAGCCTCAACGACTTCATCATCGTCCTCGATAGTAGCCCACCCCTGATTCGCGTTCACCGCTTCCTCCTCGATCCGCTTTCCGGGTTCGATGCGGGGTTCTGCCAACAGTTCGGCGATGTACTCGTCTTCGATTCGGGATCCCTGCTGCTGCGCCTCGTGCACGCTCGTGCTCAACTTGTTGACAGTCTCCGTGAGAGCCTTCAAGTCAGGCTCGGCGATCTGGAACCGGGCCTTTCCATGTTGATTGGTGAGCTCAGCCGCCATCTCATCCAGAAGCGTGTTGGCTTTGACAAAGCACCTTGTCCCAGGTGGCGCAGAAAATGTAATGCATTCGTGACCTTCGGGCGTTCAGATTGTCCCCTTCCACCGGTGTCAGCTGCTGGCGCCTTGCGCTTGCCGCCCTTGGCGACGCACGCACTGCAGATGCGGTGCTGTTCGTTGTCGCCAAACATGCTGCCGCAAGTGCCGTGGAGCCGCCCGCCACATCCTCCCTTGCAAGGGTGGCCGTGTGGGGCCTGCGGTGTCTTATCCTGTTGAGCGCACAGTTCACCTTCCGCACATGGCATGGTACGCCCCAGCGTGGAGCTATTCTGGTCTGCAGCAGAACCTGTACCCTACTCCTCTGTATAGAGTCTGTCCTCTGCCTGGTTGTCTGTGTGTGTGTGCTGTGTGTGTGCGCGCGGGGGGATGAACCGGCACTATTCAGGGTGACAGTGGCGCCCAACCGGCCATACCGGGCATGCTCACAATAGCGCCGGTATGGCACTATTGAGGGCTCCGCCTGTGTCCGGAGATTTTACCGGCACTAAACCGGGCACCTGGCACTATTCAACCGGCACTACAAAGGTCCCTCGACTGTAACATATACTTTGAATCCGAAAAAATCAAGACGTAACTGGGGTGAGGGCACCGTGGGGTCAGAATTAACCCCACCACAGTAGTTCAACATGTTCTCTAACCAGTCCTTACAAGAGAACACTCCACTTATTGAGGATCTGGCTCAGTGTTTAGGAAGTCCTCGTCTGTGATTCCATGCGTATTTTCGAACAAGGAACAACTAGACACCAAAGGACAGGTGAGGCATGAGTATGCTATCGTATTGCGAGTCATCGCACACACCCTTGACCGACTATCAACGACCGACTACTCCGCAACAAAGAGTGCACGAAAACCGACCGATATGTGGGTGTGTGTACTTTCGCCCTACTTTTATTATGCGACAGTCCCCCATTATTTCCATGGCGAGACGTGTACTACACGTGGCAGTTTATGTAGAGTATCACACTTTTCATGTATTATTCCGTACAACTACAACCATCCAGGGTCACACATACGTGCAGAGTTACCAACGAGGTGTTTCCAACAGCGCATTTTTCGTCATTGTCAGTCTCTTGAATATCGGACAATGGAGCTGTGAAGTCGGTCCAGGGGGTGTTGATGACTCGCACGTTTACATCCACATACGAGGAGATCGAACAACTGTGTCTGTACCAACGCGTTCTTCTTGAACACAAGAGGACGTTAAGGCGCTAACGCGATACAGCTCTCCCAGGCAGCGGTGCGATGAAACAGTTCTGAGAAAAAGGATAACCGCACACTTGTACGGCTAGTACGATACTGCGTGCGGTACAAGCGCCATGCTGAAACAAATGGAGGTAACAGCTACAGAGTCTGAATGAACGCACACGACAATCCGCACCGGCAAAAGGCTTTCACCAGTGGTCCCCTCACACCCACAAATCATACCGACGGGCGTTTGGATGAACAACAAGAGGTGTGAACATACTAGTCTATAATGGGTGAGTGCATGTCAGGGGTACAACATATGAAGCTCTAGGCTAGAGTGTAGGCGCAGCACGGTGAGTAGAGTTGGGAACAGTCTGGGAGTTGTAGACTTTACACAGTGCATACTACATGAAGTACACACATTGTTCTGTCAAGAGACGAAGAAAAGTATAGCCATGCGGCCAGACCTTACCGCTGGCGCAATTGATGCGCATTGGAGGGGCAGGAGAACCGGCAGCGAGGTCGAGGGTGCGCCATCTCTTTCGGCACACTTTCGAGAGAGCCTGGCCGGTGGACGTCTTCCATTCCTTATCATCGTTCCCCCTCATACTTACTTACAGTCAGAAAGGGAAAATACCTTCGAAATACATATGGGAACGCTCAGAGTACTCGAGGGAGTGAGAGACAGATAGAGAAACCCGAGAAGAGGCGCGAGCGTTGAGCGTTCGAAAGCGCCGTCAAGATGCGGTCGAATAGTCAACCCGCAACGGTTTTTGCCCGAATCGGCACATACAAACCCCGAGAACCCCCGGACGGCGGTACTGCTGGTAGCCACGGCGCCCCCGGGTAGCTGTAGCCCGCGTCCCGCGATCCCTGGAGCACCGTGCATTGCCCAGCCTGCCAACACACGACCGAAGATAGAAGACACACAATAAAACCAATGTTCACACCAGCGACAACCATAATCCTGCCTCTGGTGTTGTTCATTGCTGCGGGACATGGAGTGGCGGACGCGCAGCATGTCCAGGGGGTAATAGAAGCGGCGATAGAAGGGCAGCAGCAGCAGCTCCCCCAGGAGGAGCGGAGAGATGAAGTTGTAGAACCCACACATTGGCGGAGTAGGATTCTTGGCATCGGAGAATACGAGGTCAAGGAGGAGACCGAGTACAGCTCATGTCCCGAGGGATACCCTTCGTACGGAAAGCTCGGGGAGCTGCTGACCGCGTGGAGCCCCAACCAGCCTGAGGTGCCGGAGGAAGGGGTTGTCGAGCGACTGCAAGTGAGATAATCCGGAGAAAGGATGGGAAAATGTCTGGAAATTTAATTTCCGCTGGCTGAGCATGAAGTAGCAGCGCTAAGAACAAATCAAGTAGAGACACACCAACCCTCGTGGGAGGTGATGCCCCTGTTTTGGGAAGTTATGCCGCTGTTTTGGTCCCACGCTATCTGAGGAGAAAACGTTGTAGCGTGAAACAGCTGATGTCATGAATGTTCCTGCACTACTGGTGCCTCGGCGATTTACTTTTTGGTGGTTCCCGGAAGACTAAATACAGGTGAAGATCCGTTTTTTTGCTGTGTTGGAAGATTTCCTCGATCATCTCGCTGCATCTCGGGGATGTGTGATGCATATGAGTTAGTTCCTCAGAGCTTGGGTGCAGCAGACGCATGTTCCATCCACGCCCGTGGTAGTTGACCAGAGGATATCTCCGATACGGGTGCGGATATCATACTACAGCAAGCTGCCGCGACCTGTAGGGCGGAGTGCACCACGTCATGTGCCCGTACACCAACACCATAGCCGAATAGAGTACAAGCCCCGCTCAGGGCTGCATGCTTTTATCTTTTGACTGTTGGAGTTATCTTGGGCCTGAAATTAAGTGAGCAGTCACGGAGGGAGGTAGGTTTTGGTGTGTGCCTGAGATCCGCATTAACCGGTCGGGACCTCCTCCTTGACACTAATAGAAAAAAATGAAGAATATTTCGGATGCTTTCGTATCCATAGCCTCTCTCTTCTTCTCCTAAACCGACGGTTTGCCTTCGTTTCACGACCCCCCCTCTCACAAAGACCGTCTTCATGTAGTCGCGGAATGTCAGTTGTACGAAAAAGAGAGGGAAGTGTACATGACTGAGCTGGGAAAAATTTAACGGAGGTACAGGGAGAATAGAGGGGAGAAGACGGTAGCGGTGTTGGGGAGTAGGAAGCGTTTTGATTGGCGGAAAAGGATATCGATAGGATAGATAGACTAGGGAAGACGTTTTTGAGCCACCTTTCGCAAAGTAGGAAGGAACGATTGTTCATCGGTGATCGGTCCTGTGGGAACAATGCTCCATCCTCTCGAGGACGCGTGGTCAATGGTCTAACCGCTAAGGCATGCAAAGCATAAGAGTACGCCCCCCCCCTCTCACAAAGGGCCTTTACAATGTCTGACATTGTTTTTCACGTTTCTCATGGGTCAGCCCGCAACATTGCTGCAGTAGTAAATAGGGCGTAATGAGCCGCGGGGTACGAGTTGCAGTTGTCGACCTGCGATGCTGCATCGGCTGTAGCGTAGCCAGGTGCATGGGCAGGCACAGAGATGCGACGGGCGCGACGAGGAGATGCTTGTGTGCCGACGGTTGTTTGCTTTCCGTTGATGCCACGCACTGGCGAAGAAGGAACCGAAACATGAAGTCTTTCCGCCGTGCGCAAAGGCGCAGGGACGCACATACGCACTTATGCTTACCATGGAGAGGCATGGAATGCTACATCATGGCGACAAGTAAACCAGACCGCCGCAGAGCACACCAGCCGCAGCGTGATATACATATGGCATCGTGACTTTGGTGACAGATAGATGCGGCAGGCTCACAACTTACCCGCCACACTCAATGGTCTCAGCCCTGCCGAATTTCCCACGGAGTG